CAGTCATTTCATATAAGTCACAAATCAATATAAACGGGTCACAGATCAATATTAACAGGTCATATGTCGTTTTGTAGAAGTCAATGATCAAGTTTATAGGTCACATTTTATATTACGAGTCACGAGTAACAAATTATAGGTTGAAAATCATATTTTATATGTCACAATGTACACAGGTCATAGGTTATTGCCCAGAAAAAAAATTGTGAATTTAATATATTTAATTACAAAAATATTTTTTGATTAATTATTTCGTAACTAAAATTGTAATATTATTTGATTTTTGAAATTTCAAATTTTATTTCTTAATTTTGAAATTGATCATATGCATATTCATCCCACCTGATTAGGTTACAAATTAAATAGAACTGATCACATATCACAATGTGAATAGGTCACAGATCTAATGCAACTGGTCATAGGCCATTGCCAAAAAAGAGGAGAAAAAGAAAAAATGTAGTCGGCGAAAATGTGAGTGGTCACCGGAATAGTCGTCGGAACGATCACCAGAAATAACTGGAGCCGTCGCTGGAAGTTGCCAGAGTCGTCGCCGGAGAAGCTGCCAGAGGTGAGGTGGGATGGAGAGAGAAAGAGAAGGGTTTGATGTGATGGGTGGATGGGTTGGAGGTGGGGTAAGATAAGTAGATTAATTATACTATATTATAATTAAATATTTAAAAAATTTAATTATTACCTTTTTTTTTGAAAGATTTTTAGAAGTTTGTTAGTTTTGAAATGTGATTTTTAAATGGAGGATTTATGTGGTGTATTTTATTAATTGTTTGTGATGCTGTGATTTTTGCTGAATGATAGATGATTTTGGTTCGATTGAGTGGCAGAAAATATAAAATCATTGAGGTAAAATCAAATCTAGGACCGATAATCCCAACAAATTTGGTATCAGGGCTTGTATTGGAGTTATTGAGGCTTTTTCGACTTCTGAAAAATTATCAATTGAAAATCATCCTTGGCAAAAAAAATCAGTTTTTCAAGTGATATGCAATTTGGGAAAAATTATTGTAGACATTTTTTCTTAGGCCATATACCGAGGTTCTTGAAATTGGATCTAGCGAAATCTCCGGGATGCACATTAGTGGATTTTGCAGACGGGTTTGCCAAAGATATTTGATATTATATTCTCTTTCAAAGCACCTACTGATATTGTTTGATCAAGTGTTTCAAGTTGAATTACTGTAGCTTCTTAATAAGGAACTGGATATAGAAATATTAAATTGTTGTTCAACAGTTTTGGTGTGATCGTTTAGATTTTTTGAATTTAATTTAAAATCTCATGCTGGTTTCTTATTGTTTAATGCAAATTGAAATTTGTTACTGCATGCTATATTGATATATGTTGTAATCTGGACAACATAACTGTCAATTGACGAATTACACGTTATTGCTGAGTATTACAAATACCTGACTACATAACTTTTAATTGACGAATTACTAGTTATTGCTGATTATTATACATGCCACCAGCACACACAATTCATAGTAATCTGACTTTTCATCTCATCTGTTTAATTTTGAAACTGTTTCTTGACTGATCTGGAAAACCTGAGTGTTTTTTTTTTAAATTCTGCTTATTTTTGGGAATTTGAGATTACCAAATGGCCTCGAGTTTTCACCACCCTTCCATTGAACCTGTTATGTGTTCAAGGTTAGAACTGTCTCAATTCAATGGAAAAGATGGATTACTCGATATGAAAGCAGAAAATGAGGGCTATTTTAGTCCAACAAAGGGTTGCTAAAGCCCTTGATGATCCTGAAACATTTTCCGTTGAATTAAAATCTAAACCTGCTGAATTTGAGAAAATGAATGAGATTGCATACAGCTCTATAATTTTGCATTTGTCTGATGATATTGTTAGACGAGTTGATGAAGCTAAGAATGCTAGGGATTTATGGACTGCACTTGAAGCTTAATTCCTAATTAAAACATTGCCAAATAAGATTAACCTTTTGGAGAAATTGTTTAGTTTAGGGATGGACCCAAGAAAGGACTTAGAAGTGAATCTAAGTGATTTTAGTGTAATTGTGAAGAGTCTTGCACATAATAATATCTTATTGAATTCTTTGCCTAACTCTTACAAGGATGTGAGAAATGCAATGCAATACTCAAGGGACAAATTATCACAAGCAATTGTAATAGATGCCTTAAGATCAAGAGATTTAGAGGTTAAAAAGGAATCAAGAGACACTAGCGAAGAAATTATGTTTGTAAGAGGGAGAAGTGAAAAAAGAGAAGGTAACTTTCAGGTAAGGAAAGTAAAAGGAACATCAAAAGGGAGGTCTAAATCCAAAGATAAAAGTAACAAGAAGTATTATGGCCGTGGGGGAGCTAGGGCACTTTAAGATAGATTGCTTTGAGTGGAAAATGAAGAAAAATGATCAAAATGATATGGAATCGAACAATGTTATTGCTAAATATGAATTGGACAGTTGTATGTTATGACTGTGTCTTGTGAAGATATTAGTCAAGATTGGATTTTAGATTCACGGTATATATTCCATATGAGTCTTGTTAGGTCATGGTTTTATAACTATAGGGAAGTTGAACCTAGCAAGGTTTATATGGGTGATAATAATTCACATACTATTAGTGGTATTGGGGACATAGCCATCAAGATGTATGATGGTGTCGTCAGGCAATTAAGAAATGTTACGTATGTCCCTAATCTTNATTAAAAGAAAAATGTTTTCTGTCTTACTATTTCTTAATTCAATTTAATTATTCATTAAATATCTTTAAATGATTGAATATTTCGCCCTATTTGTCTCCATTTAATTTAAAGCAAAAAATATTTAATTCTTATACTCATTTTTAATTTGTATATACACTAAATTTTTTTTTTATTTTTCAATCACATATCTATAAATAAAATAACGATGAAAACATCATTTTTTTTTTTCTCATGGTCAAATAGGGGTTAAATGAATGAATGAATGTATTTAAAATATCACATCAATTAATTGACAGCTAGTTTCGATTGTATTATTAGGTTGGTGTAATATGTGAAGGATCTTCTCTTCAACGTGAGTGAATAATTTAAGTTGGTCAGGTTCCTCCTCGTGCGTGAACCATAAAATTATTCTGGAGCACTTAAAAAACGCCAAGGCACTTATCTTTTAGAATTGACACGCGTCAACATATTAGAGGCTCTAGCAACAATTGATTAATCTTACGTCATGGTGACGTAGTGGATTACGTGTGAAACATGCTCTATATGCTCCTGTTTTATGCTTATTCTTGTCAATTTTTTCTACCTTATCTCATTTTTCTACAATTTTTGTGACAGATGATGAAGACAGCATTGAAGAAAATGTCAGAAATGAAAGAACACGATACCATACAGTTGAATTTCTCTAATCGTTTTGCCCTCAATTAAAAAATAAAATTTCAGTTGACAAAAAGTGCTATAATTAAAGAATAAAATTTCAAATGGAGGACAGAAATGGAAAGACAAATTTTAAATTCAACAAAATGTCCCTAGTACCTCTTTTTTGTCAGCAGCCGTCTGATTTATTGATTGGGGGCCATTATTGTTGACAAAAAGTTGGAAAAATGAGGAAAAAATAAGAATAAAATGGGATCAAACGGGCGCTATGCAGAGTGCACTGAGGTCTGGAAGAACCCTTTGCTTGCATTCTGTCACTCTACTCAATATCGTGAAAATGGTGAAATCTCCAGAAACAGAGCACCCTCTCAAGGCGTTTGGATGGGCTACAAGAGACACATCTGGACTTTTCTCACCTTTCAAATTCTCCAGAAGGTATAATTGAGTTAAATGTTTGATTAGTAAACTTATATCTTTATCACGGTTTATTCATCGAACTTTAAAATACATTTGAGTGGTTATTATATCCTCGTTTAATTATCAAAATCACAGTTTGCCCAGCATGATTGATTTGTTTGGAAAAATATTGTCTTGAATCCTGAATTTTTGAAGAATGCATAGTTAAAATTAGATTTTTTAGTAGATTGTTGATTGAAGTTTTAGAAATGTGTGGCTGAAAATTGTGGGATTATGAAAGATTGGTTAATAATAATTGTTTGACTTTGACATAAATTAAAATCAGGATTTAGATCTGAACTAAATAAGTAAAAAATTTTGGATTTATATATGAAATATTTTATTATAAAAATGAAGTTTTGAAATAATGGAAGCCAAAAGAGGGCTAAACTTTAGAATTATGCTAAATGTACATCCCGTAGTGTACACTTCTTTGACATCGTGTGGGGATTCAAAAAGTGTTGGACACTTTGTATTTTATTATTATTATTATTATTTTTATATTTTTCGATCATGTGTCGGCAGATGACAAATGTTAAAAAAATTGTAAAATAAAATGTACTTGTAAATTTCTGTAACTATTATTATTATTATTATTATTATTATTTTGCATTTGGGTAGTTTTGATTTGATTTACACTGTATTTGGTGTGAAGGACGACCGGAGAGCGTGATGTGCAGTTCAAAGTGTTGTATTGTGGGGTCTGTCATTCGGATCTTCATATGGCCAAGAATGAATGGGGCGTCACTCAGTATCCTCTTGTTCCTGGGTAAGAAAAAAAGAATTGAATTTGTGACCTAAATGAGCGTCTGTAAGTGTCCATACTCTGATTCCTTGGGCTATTTAGTTGGGGTGGTTCAATATGTACACATCTCGCACACAATTACTGTGTCAGTATTGTGAGGATCAGTGATTGTAGTAATTTGGATTTGAAAACAGAGACTATAGAAATATTTATACAAATTCTTGTGAAATATTTGGATGAATACAAGCATTGCTGATTCCATATTCCCTTTTGTCCCATCTCAATGAAAATCAAACAAACGGACAGCTGATGCTAACTATTAAATAATAAACTAAATTATTGACGTCGAATGCTCACTGTTGCGATAGTCTCTATTAGTTTGTGTAAATCATCTTACAGTTATTAAAAGATAACATATCTTCGAAAGGAAAAGTAGTTGATGCATATGTTGAATTGGGCTGTTTATTGAAGGCACGAGATTGTAGGTGAAGTAACTGAGGTTGGCAGCAAGGTGGAGAAAGTCAAGGTTGGGGACAAAGTAGGAGTTGGATGTATGGTTGGATCATGTCGCCAGTGTGATCAATGCACCAACGATCTTGAAAATTACTGTTCTAAAATGATACTTACCTATCGTTCTATTTACACTGATGGTACCATGACATATGGAGGTTATTCTAATTTTATGGTTGCTGATGAGCACTTCATCGTTCGTTGGCCTGAGAACTTTCCCCTCGATGCTGGTGCTCCTCTCTTATGTGCTGGGATTACAACTTACAGCCCCTTGAGGTACTTTGGACTGGACAAGCCAGGAATGAATATTGGTGTTGTTGGTCTTGGTGGGCTTGGCCATGTAGCTGTGAAGTTTGCTAAGGCTTTTGGTACTAAAGTTACAGTTATCAGTACATCTATTAATAAGAAGAAGGAAGCTATTGAAAAACTTGGTGCCGACTCGTTTTTGGTTAGTCGTGATCCTGAGGAGATGAAGGTGAGGAATTGGGATTTTGCTTGGTTTAATTTAGTTGTTCTGCTGAGACATGAAACCACATTAATCTCTATATTTGTCTATGTTCAGGCTACAGCTGGGACATTGGACGGGATCATTGATACTGTATCTGCTGATCACCCCATTTTACCCCTGCTTAGTTTGTTGAAGCCTCATGGAAAGATGGTACTGGTTGGTGTTCCGAACAAGCCAATTGAGTAGCCAGCGTTTCCCCTGATTACAGGTAAGTATTTCATTAATATTTCTCATTCTCTTGTTCCTTCGGTCTCTCTGATTATGTTTCCATAAGCTTGAAAAGTATAGTCATAAGAAATTAAAATAAATATTTTTTTATTAGTTAAAGAAGGGAGAGGTAGAGGGTTTCACTTTTGCTGAAAAATAATGGCTAAACATAAATGTTTAAAAATTTGGCTCTGGCATTGATCTCGGAAAAAGGTCAAGGTTCAAAGAGTTGAATCAGTGCTAAAATAAAAGCAAAATATCGGGGTGAACCCCACCTGTATGGTGCTTATATTCACGGTTTCTAAGTATATTGATTTTATCCTTTAACACCAAATCGATTTTGGCTATTCCCAGTTTCTTTGGTCAGGCCAGGTCTGGTGTTGACAATATTGTTAAAAATCCACAATTGACTACAGGTAGAAAGTTAATAGCTGGCAGTGGGATAGAAGGAATGAAAGAGACCCAAGAGATGATTGATTTTGCAGCAAAGCACAACATATTACCAGATGTGGAGATCATCCCTATTGATTACATAAACACTGCAATGGATCGCCTTGGGAAATCTGATGTTAAATACCGGTTTGTGATCGACATTGCCAAATCATTGAAGGCTGAGTAATGCAAGCTTCACAGTCTCATGAAACTTAGCTTCATTAGTACAATGAATGCTGTTGTCTAGATGAGAAGATTGTCAGGAAATTTGTTTTTAGAGGCCTGTATCATTTCTCATTTTCCATTATCAGCGGACTCTCTTTTTTAGCAAAAGTAGGATATCGACAAATAGTTTGATTTTCATGTTGGTGGTGTATGAATGACACTCCATAGATGTGGTTTGCATGTTAGTCTACTTGACATATTTTCAGTCTATTTGTGGTGTCTGTCATTCGGATCTTCATATGGCCAAAAATGAATGGGGCGTTTCCTATTGTTCCTGGCTAAGATCCCCTCACCTTCATAGTTTATCAACATAGCTGAATAAATGTTTTTTTTATTCTCGTATTGTATTGTTGTACTGTCAGGATAAATGTTTTTTCTTATTGTGTTATTTTAGTAAATCAACATAGCTGAAATGAGTCTCCTAAGATGGACACCAAAATGAATAGACAGCAAATTAGTCACTTAGGATGTGATTTTCTAGATGTGAAGATATTGTAGTTCAGAAGAGTGAGGCCTTCTCAATAGACTTTGTCGGTAAAGGGATTCTTTTGCAATGTGGATTTTGGGAGGGGTAAATTGAAACATACGTGGCATGTTGTGGTTGCTAAAGATCAAATTTTATTGACTTTTCGACATATCTTGTTAGATATGGCAAAAGAATTGAGTAACTCGTCGAGGTTCAACCAATGGGTAGTTTGGGCTCATTCCAAGACAAGCTTGAGCCCGAGCGAGGAGCTCGAATGGCGCTCGACTGGGCTCATTGAGTAAGCGAGTAGCTCGTGGGCTAACGAGCCTATAGTGACTAAACGGTTACTTTTAAAGAACTAGTGAAGGCACATGCATTGCACGTGTTAGTTGGTGATATAATGTAAGTAATAGTGTTAAATTTTGGTTATGTAGTATTTGAATAAAGAGTGAAACTTGTTTTGAATGATGATTACATTGGATTATATAAAATATTTGTTCACAGGTACTTACATTGAAAGTAGTAATATGCAGCAATCATAAGCCATACTTGGTTATAGAGGTATTAACATATCAATATGTACAATGAACAAAATGTAGTACGACAAGTAGAGATGTTGGGAGTAAGGTGCGTTGAACTGTGGGCATACACATAAACATACATGGGCTAAGCTCATAACCTTGTAGCTATTCGAACATAAAGCTAATTGTAAAAACTTGCTCGGTTGGGATCTCAGAAAGTTTTTCTTTTTTATTTTTTATTTTTTTTAGAAGATGATATAGAAGAACGACATACCCTAGTAGATATAAAACTATAGGTACATCCTGATTCCTGAGTAGCTACAGTTTTGTGAATAAATTTATAAATAAAGGTGCAAGAGGCTTTATAAACTTCAGATGATTATCTGACCAGAAAAATGTTCATAAATTTTTTGAGGTATGGATCAGCGATGTAGTGTACATCTGCATTAGATTTGTCTTCCTTTCTTGTATTCTGTAGTCTTCTTCCTCTCTCTCAGACTGGGGCTCTTTTGCTTTTAGTTTATCGCATAGGGACCTTAATGAGGCAACTAGATGATCATTACGATGTGCTGAAACTAATTTAAGTAGTCTCATATGCCGAAATTCATGAGGGAGCGAATACAAAATGAAAGTTCATATATACAAATGATTTAAGAAGTTTGTATAAGATTCTCATCAACTATGGTAATAATATGCCATGTTAACCAATGCAACATATGGACAAATCAGATGGAAAGGCAGCATGTCAAATTTTCAGCTATGGTAGTAGAACATCATGTTTCAGAATCTATGTAATAAAGGCTTAAATACCAACAACTCATTTATATTGGCAAGTTACTTAGTAGATGATTGTATTGCATATTTAATTGATAACAACAATAGGATGCAGGTCTAGTTAGACAAGCTAGGAAAATCGGGTTGTTAAATTTTATAATTTCAAAGCTTTAAATAAAAACGTGCCCAACATTTAAACTTTGGAAAGGAACCTAAAATACAATAAATAAATAAAATTCTACTGAGAAGAGAGAACTGATCAAAGGAATGACGAATCAAAATCCAAGCATTTCTATTGATGTCTATTTATTCTAAGAAGAATGATTGACCTATCCCTTTCACCCATTCCGTTTCCCCCTTTTTTCTTTTTCATTGTTGTCCACAGCACCAATTTGAATCCCTCAAAGAGGAAATCATCCCTGAAAGCAGAAGAACAGAGGCAAGGAGAATTTTTCATATCAAGGTCAGCGATACGAAGGCAGAAGTAAGAAGGATAGAAACTTGGTCAGGTACTTTTTTTATCACAAACCATTTTGATCGATTAAATAAAGAACTAAGAAATCTAGAGAAAAAAAACCAATTAAACAAACAAAACCAGTCTGTAGTTTGAAATGAAAAGGTCGTTATTTTCATAATTAGAATCATATGAGAAGTCAATATATACCTGCAGGCGATTAGAAACCAAAAAATAACAATCATGATTGGCTAAACAAATTATTATGCGAGTGAACTGAACACAAGACAGAAATGCATATATCGAACTTACAAATATGATGTCCCTGATCTTTCTTCCTCTGATGTCCCAATCCAATTTCAGCAACTACTATATAACAGAATAAAGCAAAATCAGTTGTTTCCCTAGAAAGCACTAAAATTAAGCAAAAAGATTAACAAAAGTGCGATGTATTTCAAGCATTATGCTTCAAAACAAAAAATTACCTGATACCCCTTACTATGCTTTGTACTTCAGAATGCCTAGACAAATTTTTGTCAGCCATGAATAGGCTGCCATGGACAAATATTGAACACAAAGATACCTTATATTGGTGCAAAGGACAAAATGATTACTTGTCTATTTTTTAATGTTCTCTTTCCTGCCTCAAGACGATGATACAGAATGAAGACAAATTGTGTGAACTAAAAACCCAAATAAGCCTTATTGTCGACAAATTGAGGTCGAGAAAAATATTTGTTTTTCACCACTCAGCTCGACATACAACTGTGTAAAGAAAAATAAAATGAACAAAATTGAAAATCCTTTGACAAAGATGTTATATCATCATTCTACTTAATAAAAAGGTTGTAGTTGGCAAATGAAGTAATGATAATCTCTAAAAATTACTACATATGATGCTCTCGATAACTGGATGAGAAAATTAGTAATTGATGTTGATGTTTCCATTTTCTTAAGCTATTCTATTTCAATTAGTTAAAAAAATTTCAGAGTACATTTTGCGAATCCTAATTTGTCAACAATGGACATCATATATAGCAATATGAACGTCTCCAAATTTGTCCTACCAGATACAAAGGCCAGCAAAGCCATTCATCTGGTGGCATGCATGCCTGGATTCTGGATTCTGGATGAGAAAATTAGTAATTGATGTTGATGTTTCCATTTTCTTAAGCTTTTCTATTTCAATTAGTTAAAAAAATTTCAGAGTACATTTTGCGAATCCTAATTTGTCAACAATGTACATCATATATAGCAATATGAACGTCTCCACATTTGTCCTACCAGATACAAAGGCCAGCAAAGCCATTCATCTGGTGGCATGCATGCCTGGATTCTGGTTCAAAACCTGATTTTGGGAATTTGATAATGCAGCAACAAAATTACTTTTCAATTGTGCCATCATCCCTATCCTTAAAGAATTAACTGCAGCTGAACGACTTGAAACATGATTTGAATCTGCACTGGATTCTAGATTATACCCAATACCTAGACCAAAATCCATATCTCACACACCGTGGTTACTAACTCCGCCCCCCCCCCTAGCTCTTTCAGGCCTTCTACACCTGTAAATAATATTGAACATTCAATGAGGGAGCAACATATGTTTAAAAAACTCTCCAACAGAAATAAAATATAAAAGACAAAAAAGATTAAAGACTAATGTAATTTTATTTCCTCTGAGGTCACTCCTCATCATAATGGAAAACCCCCCTCAAAAAATATTATGGAGGAGAAAAACACAAAATTATTCAGATGAATGATGCATTAAGAATCTCAATTATATCATCAAGCCCTCGTTCTTTGCTTCATTTTCCTTGGAATCAAAAATTTATTAAGCATGCAATCAATCATTAATTAAAAAAAAAATTTGAAATTAGAAGTACAATCATGGACATACACAAATATATACGAATGATTATTAACAATAAGGAGTATAAAGATAAGGAAATGAAGGATACCTAGATCTAGATTGGAGTCAGGCGACTGAACATTGGCAATTTTGGACTGAAAGTAGCCAAATCGTGGAAAGAAGGAAAATCAAATAAAAGGGTTCGCCAGAGTCGTGAAATTAAATTAAACCTAAATCAATGGCCAACTCAAATTAATTATTGATAAAACTATAAAAATTCAAACTTGCTCTTCAAGGAAAATGATCCTCGGATGAGAGCTGAAGAGATGTAAGGAATATTGGACTCAGCCAGCCTGGGGGTACAGCCAACGCCGAAAATTGGAGTCTGCCTTCCGCAGTCGACGAAACTATAATTGCAAGTAGAAAAGAATTGGAATCAACATTTTCTTTACAGAATTCACGTGAATGTTCTTGAAGTGGAACCACAGCACAATTCCAAATGGCTCGTCTAACTCGGCTCGGCTTAGATGGCCAAATGGCTTGTGAACAGTAACACAAAAAGTGCCTCTTTTATCTGTAGTTAGATATGACCGTTTAGTCACTTTATGAGAGTTTTGTGATCGGTTTTCAATGCTCACAAAACTTTCAATGTGATTGTTTCCAACTGTTACTGAAATTTATTTTTAATAACTCTATAAATACTTCATTATTCAATCCATTTTTCACACAAATTATATAACTCTCTTCTACTTCTCTTCACAATCAAATTATTCTCAATAAGCTTAAATCTAATTCAATTTATGCATTCTACATCTTTATACATCTCTACATTTTACATTATTCAATTTATACATTCTATCTTTATTCAATTTACATTCACTACTATAATTCTATTTCATAATTGTACATTTCAATTCCATTACATAAAAATGGATCACAATTCTTTTGTTAAGGACTTATTTGGTGGTTTACTTATGACGCCACAATCTCAATTTTATAATGTATTTTTCGATCTCAATGGCATCATTCTCGAAGATTTGCCGAGTTTGGATGTTGATGATGCTCACGGAAATAGTCATCCAATTGATTTGGATGACATTGATGAAGAAGTTGTAGAACTTGAACTAGAAATTCCCGATGCAA